GATGTGATGGAGGGATACAAGTTCTCTTTGCAGAAGCTGCACTTTCCTTTACTCCCCAATTTTTTGCCTCCCTTCCTCCATCAGAGCACAATCCTCTTTGCACCTTATCATTCTGTGTGAATGAGAATTTCAGCTCATTTACAGGCGCTGCCAGAAAGCTGGCAGGTCTGTAAATTGTTCAATAATTTGTAGCTCCATTGGCATTAGACCTGGGACATTTGACCCCCTCCATGTCTCCAGCAGAGTAGCTGCTTTTAATGCCAGTGCATATTTCTGCTGGCAAGTCAGACCCTCATTCGTTATTTCCCCCAGTGCTCTGAGCTGTGTCTGTCTGGGATTTGTTGCTTTTCCGTGGATCAGTCTCCTCCAGTCCCTGTTTTGACCTCTCAGTTACTGACAACACCTCATTGGGATTGCCAGAAAACAAGCTTGGTCAAGGGAAACCTCTCCCCTCTATGATATTGCATACTTCTTGGCTTAGGATTTTTAGGCTAAATAGATGCTTCAACATCTGCATATAGAAGTGCATCAGTGTTCTTCTTTTACTTAGTTTCAGAGCATATAGTTGCCATAGGAACCACAAATTTCAATCATACCCCAGAAAGGTCACAGTGTTCATTCCTCTTTCACACATGGGAGCACAATAATCAACCAGCCACAAGGGTTTTGATGTGCAGCTATTTGGCTGCAGTCTCACCTTCTCAGCGTTACTCCCCCAACCCCCTCCTGCCCCCAAACTCCCTCTCATACCCCCACCCCACACTCTCTCCTGCTGCCAAACTCCCTTCCAGACCCTGCCCTCCACACCCCCTGCTGCACTCCACCTCCCGCCCAGATCCTGCACCCTATCCCTATCCCAGTTGCTAGCAGCCCTGTCCCACACACTGACCCCTCATTTTTGTCCCCATCCCAGAGCGTGAAGGGGTCCCCAAAATCCACTAATCCTGGAACCCCAGAAAAGTAAATCTGGCCTCTGAATCTCAGTTCTCCCTGTTCCTTCCCCTCACCCCATGGGACTGGAGTGTCAGAAAAGTGTTGGGATAAGTGAGGGTTGGGATTTTTTTGAGAATTGTTTTACTTCTTACTTGTGTGGACCCCAGCTGATTTCTCTGCGGCTCAGTGGCCCTGACCCAAAAATAGTTCTCCACCCCTGCCATAAATAAAGAAAACATGGGAACCTTTTGTATTGGACATAAATTAATATTTGATAAACTAACATGAGAAAGTTAATCTGTTTAATAATTTAAAGTAAACCATTTTCCCTAGCTGCAGCACTAACGACATGGCTCATGTGTAATTATGTAATTAAAGGTGAGTTTCCATTAGCAACTGGTGGTCCACAGAAAGGTTTGCATTGAGCCACTTGGTCCACAGGCCAAAAAGTTTGAGAACCACTGTGCTAAATGGAGCGGCTCCATGCTTGAAACAGAGCAGCTCCCAGAGGAGGTAATAAAAAGCAAGATAAGGAAAGAATAAGTGTCTCGGTAGGGGGAAGAGGAGTGAGGGAGTAGGTAACTGGGAGAGGGAGTCAGAGGGAGTGGAGTTTGGAGAATCCCTTGTGTGCAGAAGAGAGAGGCAGAAACTCAGCATTCTCAAACCTCCTGGGAAGGGGAAGGTATGAGGCTGACTGCATGGGGTAGGTGGGGAAAAGAAGGGGTGGTGGATGTTGGCATTGGGATGAGGTGGAGGCAGGGATGTAGCTTATTTGTGCTGGGAGGTGTGGATAATTTGTGCTTTAGCTGGGAGTTAGGACAGGACAGACTGCTGGTGCCTGCTACTTTGAGAAGACGGATTTTATCCCAGCCCCCACCTGGACTGGGGGGAGCAGATTGCAAAGATGTAGATGGGGGAAAGATGGGGTGTGTGGGTGCTGGCATCTGTGCAGTGAGGTGGAAGCAGGGAACAGTTTATTTGGGTGTCTGACTCATTTATTGCAATCCAGACTGCAGTCCTCTCTTTCTGGCTGGGTTGGAGCGGGGGAGGAAAGCAGGTTGCATGGGGAGGGGTGTGCTAGGAGGATATTTGTATGATTACATTTCAAACAAAATTTACATAGGTGTTCATAGCTTAAGGTAAGAAAGAAAACAAGATTGTTTTAACAGAATTTTTTTGGAGTGTTGCAGACATCTAAAACTCTGATCCCAATGATTTTTTAAAATCCTGTGTTACTAAAACAATAAGATCTGCATCTTTATTTATTTATTAATGACACTGCTGTAAGTAGGACAATTATTGACTTTAAAAAGTATCAATGGCACGCAGACTCATAAATAGAAGTGAATACGTTAAATCTCGGCACTTCACTTCTGAAAGGTTGCTGATCCCTGTTATTAGGGTTGCCAGATGGTTTCAACAAAAATACTGGACACACTTGACATTTACATCACAATCTACATTACATCTTATTTAGAAAATACTGGACATTTATATTTTCTCATTTATATTTTCTCAATTTGTTTCCCGAACAGAAAGCTCAAATACTGGACTCTCCCATTCAAAACCGGACATCTGGCAACCCTACCTGTTATAGTATAAAGGCCTTAGTCTCTATTATATTTTACATATGAAATTCAAGCAAATGTGTAAAATGGACAACACAAACTTTTTCTGAATGAAAATATTTATTGCCCAGTTAAAAAGTTACTATATGCAAACTACAAGTAAGTTACGCAAAAAGCTGTTCATCACAAATTTAGAAAAAACAAGTCTCTTAATATACATTATATTATAAATGTAAAAGCAACTGGAAGAAGAATCAGAATGCCAGAATACCTGCATTTATATATTACATATACATTCAGATTCGGTTGGTTCATTCTTAGCTGGGCATCCAAGAAATTTAGGCCTTAGTCCTGCAAAGTCTTAACCATCTTAACCACGTTAGTGGGGGCAAAAGATCTATCTGGTTTCAAGATTAAACTAGATGGGTTTATGAAGGGGATGGTTTGATGAGATAACATGATCTTGGTAACTAATTGACCATTCATTATCAGTGGGAAATAGGTCAATGGAGGGATGATAGGAGTTACTATAGAGAACTTTCTGGGTGTCTGGCTGGTGAGTCTTGCCCACATGCTCAGGGTTTAGCTGATCGCCATATTTGGGGTCGGGAAGGAATTTTCCTCCAGGGTAGATTGGCAGAGGCCCTGGAGGTTTTTCGCCTTCCTCTGTAGCATGGGGTACAGATCACAGCTGGAGGATTCTCTGCATCTTGGGGCCTTCAAAGAATTTGAAGGGTTCAATATCTGAGATATAGGTGAGAGGATTATTCTAAGAGGGGTGGGTGAGATTCTGTGGCCTGCACTGTGCAGGGGGTCAGACTAGATGATCATAATGGTCCCTCTGACCTTAAAGTCTATGAGTCTATAATTTCTATCTACAGAGAACTGAAGAGGAGGAGAGGATTACAGCTCCATCTGTGACCGAGGATGGTCAACAAAGGACTGAAGCGAGTCAGGCCATATGTGTGAATGCCAAAGGCACAAACGGCACGCACCGCTCTCACGCATGCACAGCACAACTAGACACTGCTAGAAAAAAAAAATCTCCGATCTGCGGTGCAGGACAAGCCCAACACCAACAATGGAGCACCCATGGGAACATCACTTGAAGAAGAAGAAAAAGAGCCTTTCTGAAAAAGAGAGACTTGAAACTGAACTCTTCATCTGGAGCTGGAGGAATAGTCTTGAAGGTGAGGAGGAGGAAGTGGCTGCCTGTCAAGGATAGAACTCCTCTGTGGCAGGGGGCATGCTGGGAAATGTTTAAAGGCACTTGGTATCTTGTGTTAGAAAAGGAACACCCTGAAAGCACTGTGCACAGAATCAGAGCAATGCATCATGGGGTACTTGACCAGAATTCTGAATGCTTATTTCAAAATACTACTGTCCTGGATGGCAGCAATGATATAACACAAAACTACCTTCATCAATTAGGTAATGTCGTGAGTCCTAACAGCTCATGCAACACTTGTTGCAGATCACTTAACACAGATATGCAAAAGCAGCAGAAAGTCTCAAGTGCAGACATAGCCTTGTTTACAGTGACATGAATCAGGACTAGCTCTACTCAAGTCAGTGGAGTTCCACCATCATTGGTGCATCTGAAGAATCAGGTCCTTGGATTTTAGCTGAGCTGTAGCACAGTTCAGCATCTAGCAAGTCACCAGCAGAGAACTAATTTAATCATTACATGAGACTAATTTGTATTCAGCTCTCCCAGCACAGTAATTATTTACATAGAGATGGCACTGAAGTGAACACGTTTTGCAGTAGGTGATTCTGCAGATTAAATTTACACTTCTGCAGTGATTCAGTCAATTCAAAGTCAATTGGATAATAATACACTCTGCTGACAGTTTTTTCTCAATTTATTTATCTCCTCCCAGCTGCAGAAGAGGACTTCCCTGAACTGTAAGAAGGCCTTGGGGGGGAAGCACTCTTCTGCAGCCGGGAAGAGACCCTGCCCAGCACTGGTTGGCTGAGAGTCAGAGCAGGACACGCCTCTTCCAAGAGCCACGGTGAGAGCAGTGTACCTCAGCCCTGGTCCCCCAGAGCCACCATGGCCCGGGAGCTAGAGGTCTGCTGTTGGGCCGGCGGTTGGGAACCGCTGCTATGGAGCACTGTGAGATTCCTAGATGGAAAGCGCTGTAGGGGAGTAAAGCAGCAGTAGTAAAATAACTTATCTGAAGACTTTCCATCATCACCCTGCAAAGCAATTCAAAATGACCTGACCCTAGGGCCAATCCAATTACATTTGGCCATCTTATCAACACTCCGATTAGCAGTGTCTGGGACCACACTCGGGCAACACAAATCAGTTCTGGAATGGGGAAAGGTCTTTACTTCTCAACAGAAATTGCACTGTGGACAAAGAAGCAGCACTTTAGTAGTATTTGGGAAAAAATATAAAGTCCAGACATTAAAAATAGGTTATATAGTAAGAAAAATGTCATCAATTTAATCAATCATTTACTTTAAGCAGGCAAGCAATTTGTAAACATTCAAAAGCGGCAGCATTCATGTTACAAACAATTTAAAAGAAAAATAATTGAGATTAAGGACTTTCTCTTTCAAAAAAATTGAAATCATTTAAAATGCTACAAACACTGAACACTCAGTTACATCACCTATCATCCTGCTAGCTCTTTCTTACAAAGATTCTTGTATTTCTAAAATTCATGATCTTGTAGTAACTTGTACATTAGCATTTGCTGCTTGGAAGTCAGCTACTTGAGAATTACACCTGTGTTTAAATCCCATTAGCAAAGGTAATGTCTTGATTCAATACTTCTTTAACTTCTGAAGGCAACGTGTCAAAGAGGTGATCTTCCACAACAAGGCCGCTTTTCCTGAGAAGCCGACATTGCCCTAGTGTAGCTGGTAGCCGATCTAAGCAGTTTCCTTTCAGTTCTAAGTGAGTTAGCTGCAAGAGCTGACCAATTTTATCTGGGATCGAGGTAATACAGTTTTGCCCCAGACTCAAAGTCCTTAATTTCACACACTTAAACAACTGTTTTGGCAAAATATCCACTTTGTTTCCTGTGATATACAAATGCTGCAGATTTTGAAGCAATCCGATTTCCACTGGAATCACCGCAATTGAGTTATAGTTTACATCTAAGCATCTGAGTTTCTGTAAACTGAACACTGCTACTGGCAAGGATTCGAGTTTGTTATTGGAGAGATAAAGTGACTCCAAGTTCTTTACATGGGAAATGGAGGGAGGAATGTTGACTATTTTATTGTGCCATAACTTTAAGCAAGTAAGTCTTTTTAAATGCTGGAAGCTGATGACTTCTTCAATTGTGCGTATGCTATTTGATTTTAAATCCAGATCCTGCAAATTAGTTAGACTGAAAATGGCATGTGGAATTCTTTCCAGTTCACAGTTCTGTAGTTCTAATTCAGCTACATTCATCATTTTCTTAAGGCTGTTCAGTACCACAAGCTTGGTGCCATCATTGTGAATTACCAGTTTTGTTAGATGTGGTGCCACATCTGTGATATTGGAGGGGACTTTGGTCAAATTGCTCTTCACATGGAGAATTTTAAGGTGTCTTAACTCTCTGAGAGATTCAAGCCCTATCATTTTATTGTTTTCAGAATTCAAGTTGCCTATCAAATATAACTCACGGAGATTTTTGAGCAAATACACCCAAGCAGGAATTTCTGCAACATCTGTGAATTTCACATGAAGGCATCTCAAGTTGTCACGGAGGAAGCTGAAAGCAGTCTGCTCAACCTTAGCAGGACAGTGGCAGAGATGAAGCTCTTGAAGGTTGGTCATCTGGGAGATTTTAGCTGGGATTTTTGCTTCAGGAATCAGCTCAAGTTTCAGCACATCCAGGTCAGTCAGGTCAAACACTGCATCAGGGACCCCTGACAGCATGAAGAGATGAAGCTCTTGTTTATCCTGTGCATTGCGGGAGACATGCTGCCGAAGCTTTTCAAATGTCCACTCATGGTTTAAACTAATTTCACGCAGCTTGTTTTCACTTACCTCTGACAAGAAGACACCAAAGCGTTTGGAGTACAACTGGTCGTATTGATCTACCATGTGCAAAAGAAATGCAAAATCGTTTTTGACATCAGGAATATCACTGAAGCTGCTCTCTTCTCTGACCTTCTCAAAGGAATATTCTTTTAAGGGTATTCTAAACAACCAGAAGAGTGTGTACAGACAGACAAAACCATACACGCAAATGAGAGAAATGTAGCTGATAAGCAACTTTTTCAACATATAAGCCATATTGTGTGTGCACTCAAATTTCTTATAGCCAATCAAATGCTCCACTTCTGGAGTGCAGGTGTGCTTAAAACGAATCTCATTTACAAAGTTAGCCGTGTAGCAAAGAATAAATATGAACTTGACAGTCTTGATGACTGTCTGGACGACATAGAGTTTATAAATCAAGTCACTGTCTTCCACATGGGCACGGAATTTTCTAACTTTTTCAAACAGGGCTTTGGCTTGTTCTCCATCTTTTTTATCTAAAATAGTCATGCTGGGAACCTCAATAACTGGCTTTTCAGCTGAAAACTTAAAGCCAGACTTAGTAATCATAGGAGTACTAGCACTTGGGCTTCCTTCGTCACTGCTAGTGGAAACGTGCTTTGGAAGGGATTGGGTACCAGTTAGTCTCTGTTTGTTTTCCTCAGAGTCCTCACATGCTGTTTCAGATAGTGCTTTCGTAGTCCAAGGGGATTCAAAACATTTTCCTAATATAGATACAAAATGTTCAATTTTTGAGCAAGTTTTGGGATATTTAAACCAAAAATTGCTACTAACCATTAAAATAATGGTATGTATGAGAGCAAGATAGGGAAAATACTTTGAATACCAAGGAAGAGCCAAATGATAACACATCTGGTTAATAAATACATATTGCTGATAATCCAAATTGGTTTTTCGGCCTAAAGAATCCTTTTTCTCATTCTTCAGTTCCTGATTTGATTCAGTAGATTGCAACTGAGAATAGGTAGATCTGCTCAGTGGTGTGTCTGGTGTTATGGTAGGTGCATTTTCAAAGGAAACTGTTCTCATTTTCATTCCTTTATCTTGATCAGTGGTTGCTTCAGATCCTGGTATATCATTAGCATTTCCTGATGTGCTGGGTTGTATGCCTGAATTTACAGCAGACTGCAACACTGGCAAGCAGACCACCTGATCTTTGGTTAGCTGCATGGTTCCAGCAAAGATAGCAACCATCAGCATAACAACAGCAAGATAATCCATAAATACATCCCACCATGGTTTCAGGATGCGATAAGTTGGCTGAATGTCATTAAGCGATGCAACTTCTGCAAGGGTAAACATTCCTGAAACAAAACAAACAAAACAAAATGTAAGTTACTATCATTTGTTGTTGACAGACTAGCTATGATTTTTTTCTACTCAACAGCATATCATCATACGACATAAAACCTAAAAATGTTTTCTACTGATCTTTCTATTGTGTTGAATTGCACGCTATTGTACACCACCCCTTAAATGGAAGCAAGTAAGTCAGGATCCTTTCAAGAGTGTATATACAATAATCAGGTGTCTTTAGAATAATAAAAACAACCAAAAAAAAATACTTACCATCAAATTATATATATATATATATATATACATAGAGAGAGAGAGAGAGAGAGAGAGAACTATTACATAACACAACAAGAAATAAAGGTCTACACTGTATGATATAAATACCTGAACCACAGAGTGTTGTTGTTGGTATATTTTAAAAACCTGAAGAGAACACAGAATATATCTTGCAAAAATCAGTTTCTGCAAAAGTGTATGAAAGGTGCACTCTGAACATGTGACAATGTATTTATGTCAATTAAAAATATATTTTAAAACAGAAAAAATAGAAAATCTGCTAACCCCTCTGCCCAATATAGTACTTTTTAGAGCTCTGATAATAATGGGATAATCACAAAGGAGTTGTAGAAAAGGTAGAAACTGGATCAAATTACAAAGGATGAATATAAGCAAACCACACAGGTATGCAGGGGCAAGATTAGAAAGGCAAAGGCACAAAATGAGCTAAATCTAGCGAGACACGTAAAGGCTAACGAGAAGACATTCTACTATTAGAAGCAATAGGAAGACCACGGATAGGGTTGGCCCACTGCTCAGTGAAGAGGGAGAAACAATAACAGGAAACCTGGAAATGACAGAAATGCTTAATGATGTCTTTGTTTCAGTTTTCACCAAGAAGTTTGATGGTGATGGGACGCCTAACAATGAATGCTAGTGGAAATGGGGTAGGTTTAGAAGTTAAAATTAAAAAAGAACAAGGTAAAAATTACTTAGAAAAGTCAGATGTCTTCAAGTCACCAGGGCCTGATGAAATGCATCCTAGAATACTCAAGGAGCTGATGAGGTATCTGAGCCTTTAGATATCATCTTTGAAAAATCATGGCAGTCAGGAGAGATTCCAGAAGACTGGAAAAGGGCAAATAATAGTGCCCATCTATAAAAAGAGAAATAAGAACAACCCAGAAAACTACAGACCAGCCAGTTTAACTTGTGCACCAGGGAAGATACTGGAACAAGTAATTAAGGAATTCATCTGCAAACATCTGGAAGAAAGTAAGGTATAGGTAACAGCCAGCATGGATTTGTAAAGAACAAATCACGTCAGACCAATCTGATAGCTTTCTTTGATAGCATATCAAGCCTTGTGGATAAGGGTACATCTACACAGCAACATTATTTCTAAATGACTAGCATTATTTTGAAATAATTTAGTCTGCGTCTACACAGCAAGCAGTTATTTCAAAATAATGTCAAAATAGTGTCAAGCTGGAGCACTTTTTATTCCAACTCCTGTAACCCTCATTGTACAAGGAGTAAGGGAAGTCAGATGAAGAGTGCTCTATTTTTAAAATAAGTGCGGTGTAGATGCTCCCAATTTTGAAATAAACCACGCAATTGACGTAGCTCAATTTGCGTAGCTTATTTTGAGTTAAGCCCTGCTGTGCAGACCCACCCTAAGAGAGAAGCAGTGACATATCTAAAAAATTTCCATATAGAAACTACATTAATTAGAAGTACAGTTGCTCAAGTATATTTCCATCATTACAATAAGGAACGCTCACCACTACAATAGAAGCCAGCAGAAGGCCTATGCAACAACTAGGCTTAGTATACTGACAGCTGCCATTGTTGTCAGTATATAACTTATCTCACTCAGGGATGTGACTAAGCCACACGCCTGACTGGCGTACATTACACTGACCTAAGCACCGGTGTAGACAGCGCTATGTTGCCAGGAGAGTTTCTCTCGCCAGCATTAGGGATGTAACAGTGTAACCATTTAAATCGTTAACCTATAAGCATGAGCTTGTTGGTTTCCCTAATGGTTACACACTGGCTGTTGGCCCTCGCGGTGGCTGTTGGAGCTCAAGCCGGCTGTTCCTGGCAGCTCAGCTCCGGCAGCCAGGGGGGCTCAGGTGGCAGGAGGAGGCGCCTCCCTCCCTCCTCTCCCCTCCGTGTTTAGGGAAGACACGTGTGGAGAGGGAGGGGGTGCAAAGAAGGAGGGAGGCAGGCACACCACCAACTGCCTCTCCTTCTGTCCATGCAGCTGCTTTTGCTAGTAGCAGCAACAGGAGACAGAGCAGTAGGCGCCCTCTCCTCCCCCCCGGCGCCCACAGCCATTTTTGCTGGCAGTAGTGCTGGGGCTGAGGCAGCAGCAGAATGAGGCGGAGCAGAAGGCATCTCTCTCCTCCCCCCATCCTTAATGGTGGATGGCCCGGGCTCCGCGCTCCCCCACCCACCCATGGGTTTGCAAGATGCTCTTGGGGTAGGAGTGGGCACAAAGGAGGGCCACTGTCCCTGCCTACATGGCAGTAACAGCCACGCTCCCTACAAGGGGCAGCCTCACTCTGGAGAGTGCGGTGGGGTGGGGGGAGAAAAAGGGGTGATTGGTGATGGTGTTGGCATGGGCTGTAGGGGTCAGAGGTTAAAAGGGTCAAAGGGAATAGATTGTGGGAGTGGGGGTCATGGTGTTGGCATGGGCTGTAGGGGTCAGAGGTTAAAAGGGTCAAAGGGAATAGGTTGTGGGAGTGGGGGTCAAAGGATATTAAGCACTCTGAGAAAGGGGCTAGGCAGACCACCAACATTTTATTTCCATACTTGCATATTCATATACAAATAATGAATAGGCAAATATGCAAATAAAATGTCACCGGTCCACCAAGAATTTGTGAATCTTTTTGCCAGTGCCCGGCATAAAAAAGGTTGGGAACCACTGCTTTGCAGGATAAGTCAAAATTCAAAATGATCTGGACAAACTGGAGAAATGGTCTGAGGTAAATATGATGAAGTTTAATAAGGACAAATACAAAGTACCCCACTTAGGAAGGAACAATCAGTTTCACACATATAGAATCGGAAGCGACTATCTAGGAAGGAATACTGCAGAAAGGGATCTAGAGGTCATAACGAATCACAAGTTAAACATGACTCAACAGTATGACACTGTTGCAAAAAAAACCCAATCATGCTTCTGGAATGCATTAACAGAAATGCTGTGAGCAAGACATAAGAAGTCATTCTGCTCTGTGTTGATTAGGCCTCAATTGGAGTATGCTGTCCAGTTCTGGGCACCACATTTCAAGAAAGATGTGGAGAAACTGGAGAAGGTTCAGAGAAGAACAAAATTTATTAAAGGTCTAGAAAACATGACCTATGAGGCAAGACTAAAAGAATTGGGCTTGTTTAGTTTAGGAAAGAGAAGACTGAGAGGAGACATGATAGCTGTTTTCAAGTATCTAAAAGGGTGTCTGTCACAAGGAGGAGGGAGAAAAATTGTTCTCCTTGGCCTCTGATGATAGGACAAGAAGCAATGGGCTTAAATTGCAGCAAGGGAGGTTTAGGTTGGACATTAGGAAAAACTTCCTAACAGTCAGGGTGGTTAAACACTGGAATAAATTGCCTAGGGAGGTTGTGGAATCTCCATCACCAGAGATATTTAAGAGCAGGTTGGACAGACATCTATTAGAGATGATCTATTCTAGACAGTGCTTGGTCCTGCCATGAGGGCAGGGGACTGGACTCGATGACCTCTTGAGGTCCCTTCCAGTTCTAGTATTCTACGTAGCAAAGCATCTCATTTCCTATTCATTCAAATGAGCTAAAAAAAAAAGCAATACATTTCAGTCCTTTTTTAAAATCAGGTCCTTGTTATCAGGTCTTTTTCTTTAGGTACCATCAATTTACATCTTAGCAATGTTGATGTTTCAACTACTATATAAAATTCGGAATGAAAAGAAGTGGTTCAATAGTTTGATTTATTTTTCAGAGAGATATTTATATTATTTAAAATGCTTATTTTGGAAAACAAATAGAATCTCATATTTTTCAGTTAATGAAAATAAAAAGGTAATTATCTGGAAACCAGTTTATACACAAATTGGTTCGCAAGGCTTATTTTTTGCATTAACTTTTATCCACTGATACCTGGAACTGTAAATTTAATTTGGATTCCCAGATTATCGCTATTACAGAATAGTTTACTGCCCATCAAATAGAGATTTCCTATTAATAACTAAAATAAAATAAAATAAAAAATTAATAATAAATAATAATAACCAGTCTGGATTAGAAGGAGTAGCTAATGGTGAGAATGGGCAGGCAGGACACTAGGAGAATGCAAAGCAGAAAAGGCTAGAATGGACCAGCTAGAGAACTGTGTGGCAGTTCAGGTCTGTGCAAACAGGCACCTCCATTTGTTATTTGTTGAGCAGGGGGTACAGTCACAAGTATACTTGCACAGCCCATTTCTAATCCAAATTTCTTCATACATGTCAAGTAAGCTTGGACAGAGTCTATAGCAGGACTGTATTTTAAGACACTGAATAGTGCAAAACTCAAAAACTGACCATATTCTATTTGGCCAAGTTCCTTTATTGAGTTCAGCTTTAGGCAGGGAATAAGAAGGAGGCTTTTCAGCCAAAGTTAAATTTTAGTCAGAAAGCTATAGGCACCTGAAAATAGAGACCCAGAATGGAAGTGTCATAGTCATGCTGCTACAAGTGCATACACTACAGCCCTGATACAAAGACCATGGTCCAGCTCACCCCACCCATGGGGAAAAATTACAGGAGGCAGCTCTGAGAGAGGCAGTCTTCCATGAGATTGTGTAGGGGGGGGAGGGGGGAGGGACAAGGACACCGTGTTCCTTTCTTTCCCTCCCCCATCAAAACAAGATGTAGGGTTCACCCAGAAACCTGGTGGACCCCTCAGAACTCCATGGGATGCCCAAGGTCATTTCCTTAAAGACCTAGTACCTCCAGACTGATGCTAGCCTTCACTGATGCCATCC